CACCCAGGCGTCCCTAGAAGGATTTTTTTTTTTAAACACAGTGAAAGAATAAAGAATATAGACCTCCCACATGACAAAGATATACACATAATACACAGAAAGAAAAGAAACCACCTGTCACATCAGTATATATAAATAAGTTTACCTCACTTATCTTTAGCAGGAAAAATAGTTTTTATTTAGATCCCAAGCAAAACCCAACTCCATCCTGTATTTAAGAGATAGACACTTTAAAATGGTTTCAAGTAGGGGCGCCTGGGTGGCTCAGTCAGTTGAGCGTCTGACTTCGGCTCAGGTCATGATCTTGTGGTTTGTGAGTTCGAGCCCCGCGTCAGGCTCTGTGCTGACAGCTCAGAGCCTGGAGCCTGCTTTGGATTCTGGGTCTCCCTCTCTCTCTGCCCCTCTTCTGCTCATGCTGTCTCCCTCAAATATAAAATAAAACATTAAAAAAATAAAATGGTTTAAAGTAAAAGAAAGAGCAAAAGTATAAAAACAAATATAAACAAAAAGAAAGCTGGGGCCATAATCTTAATATCAGACTGAGAATTCAAGCCAGCCATTACTAAGTGAGCCAAAGAAGGATCATTTATAATGCTAAAAGGTCTAATTCACAACATACCAAATAACACTGCAGCAGTTTTCAGGAATTAGAAATTATAGAATGCTATGATAAATAGACTGAAACACACTAATAGGAGATTGAAATTTTTTTAAATGTTTATTATTTTTGAGGGAGGGGGAGAGAGAGAGAGAGAGTGAGAGAGCAAGCAGGGGAGGGGCAGAGAGAGGGAGACCCAGAATCCGAAGCAGGCTCCAGGCTCTGAGCTGTCAGCACAGAGCCTGACATGGGACTTGAACTCACAAACTGTGAGATCATGACCTGAGCTGAAGTTGGGTGCTTAACTGACTGAGCCACCCAGGTGCCCCGCAAATAAGAGATTTTAACTTGCCACTCTTAACCCAAGTAATAAAAAGATCAAATACAAATAAGAATTCAGAAGATGTAAATAAAATAATCAGCAAGGTTCTACATGATATCAAACTCTCTATCTTAATAATAGCATACTCTCTTTTCTAGAGCTGATGAAGCGTTCATAAAATCTGAAAACAAAATGAACAAACCTTTAACTAGATTCATCAAGAAAAAAAGAGAGAGGACTCAAATAAAATCAGAAATGAAAGAGAAGAAATAACAACCAACACCACTAAATACAGAGGATTATGCGAGAGTACTATGGAAAATGATATGCCAACATTGGACAACCTGGAAGAAGTGGATGAATTCCTAAAAACGTATCACCTTCCAAAACTGAATCAGGAAGAGAAAATCTGAAAAGACTCGATTACCAGCAATGAAATGGAATCAGCAACCAAGAAAACCCCCAACAAACACAAGTCTAGGACAGGATGGCTTCACAGGTGAAGTCTACCAAACGTCTAAGAAAGAGTTAATACCTATTCTTCTTTTTTTTTTTTAATGTTTTTTATTTATTTCTAGGAGAGAGAGACAGAGTGAGCAGAGGAGGGTCAGAGAGAGAGGGAGTCACAGACTCTGAAACAGGCTCCAGGCTCTGAGCTGGCAGTCAGCACAGAGCCCGACGCGGGGCCCGAACCCACAAACCGCGAGATCATGACCTAAGCGAAAGTTGGACGCTTAACCGACTAAGCCACCCAGGCGCCTCTAATACCTATTCTTCTTAAACTATTCCAAAAAACAGAAGAGGAAGGAAAGTTTCCAAATTCATTTTATGAGGCCAGCCTTACCCTCATACCAAAATCAGATAAAGATGCTATGAAAAAAGAAAACTATAGGCAATATTTCTGATGAACATAGATGCAAAAATTCTCCACAAAATATTACCGAACTGAATCCAACAATATATTTAAAAAAATCTTTGGGAGGGGTAGGGGGGAAAGCATTCAGCACAATCAAGTGGAATTTGTTCCCAGGATGCAAGGGTGGTTCAATATTAAAAAATCAATCAATACGATACATCGTATTAACAAAGGAAACCATGAAACCTATAGGATCATTTCAACAAATGCAGAAAAAGCACTTGACAAAGTACAACATCCATTCATGATAAAAAAAAAAAAAAACCTTCAATAAAGTAGGTTTGGAGGGAACATATTTCAACATAATAAAGGCCATCTATGAAAAACCCACAGCTAACATCATAGTCAGCGGTGGAAACCTGACAGCTTTTCTCCTCAGATCAGTAACAAGAATGTCCACTCTCACCACTTTTATTCAACATGGGACTGGAAGTTCCGGCCACAGCAACCAGACAAGAAAAAAATATAAAAGGCACCCAAATTGGTAAGGAGGAAGAAACACTCTCAGTATTTGCAGATGACACGATACTATATAGAGAAAACCTAAAGATTTCAAAAAAAAAAAAAACCCACAAATAACTATGAGAACTGATAAATGAATTCAGTAAAGCGATAAGACACACAGAAATTAATATACAGAAATCTCTGTTGCATTTCTATGTACAAATAATGGAGTAGCGGCAAGTGGTGAAGTTAAGAAATCAATCCCATTTACAATTGTACCAAAGGGGGGCGCCTGGGTGGCTCAGTCGGGTAAGCGTCTGACTTCAGCTCAGGGCATGATCTCACGGTTCATGAGTTCAAGCCCCGCATTGGGCTCTGTGCTGACAGCTCAGAGCCTGGAGCCTGTTTCACATTTGGTGCGTCTGTCTCTCCCTCTTCTCCTCCCCTGCTCATGCTGTGTCTCTCTCTCTCGCACAAAAATAAAATAAACATAAAAAAAATTTTTTTAAAGAAGTAATAAAATACCTAGCAATAAACTTGACCAAGGAGGTGAAAGACTGGTACTCTGAGAACTATAAAGTACTGATGAAAAAAAAGAAAGATGACACAAACAAATGGAAAAGTATTGTATGCTTGTGGATCAAAAGAACCAATATTGTTAAATGTCTGTACTACCCACGGCACTTTATATATTTAATGCAATTCTTATCAAAATACCAACAGCATTTTTCACAGAACTAGAACAAATAATGCTAAGATTCATATGGAACCACCAAAGACCCTGAGTGGCCAAAGCGATCGTGAGAAAGAAGAACGAAGGTGGCAGGATCCCAATCCCAGATTTCAAGATATACTACAAAGCTGTCGTCATCAAAACAGTATCGCGCTCCGGCACAGAAAACAGACGCACACATCAATGCAACAGAACAGTGAGCCCAGAAATAAACTCGTGCTTCTATGTCCAATGAATCTTCGACAAAGGAAGAAAGAATGGGGAAGAGACGGTCTCTTCAATAAACGATGTTGAGAAAACTGGACAGCCACATGCAAAAGAATGAAACTGAACCACTTTCTTTTTTTTTTTTAATTTTTTTTTAATGTTTTATTTATTTCTAGGAGAGAGAGAGAGACAGCGTGAGCAGGGGAGGGTCAGAGAGAGAGGGAGTCACAGACTGAAACAGGCTCCAGGCTCTGAGCTGGCAGTCAGCACAGAGCCCGACGCGGGGCTCGAACCCACGAACCGCGAGATCATGACCTAAGCGAAAGTCAGACACTTAACTGACTAAGCCACCCAGGCGCCCCTGGATCGCTTTCTTCAAACACACAAATAAACTTGAAATGTAGGAAAGACCGAGAGGGAAGACCGTAAACTTCCTAGAAGAGAGCACAGGCAGTAATTTCTTTGACCTCAGCTGTTGAAACCTTTCTCTGGATACGTCTCCTCAAGCAACGGAAAGAAAAACAAAGATGCATATGTGATTCTGGAATTTACAATTGAGTCTGAAGTTCATATACCAAAATAAACAAGCAAAGACCTAGAGGAAAACTCTGAGAAGGAGGGAAAAATGAGGAAGGACTGGAAGTTCTTTAGATTATTAAAACATACTATAAAGTTTCTTTTTTCCCCCATGTTATTTTGAGACAGAGAGAGAGAGAGAGCGAGAGAGCGAGTGCAAGTGTGCATGTGCGAACTGGGGAGGGGCAGAGAGAGAGGAAGAGAGAGTCCTAAGCAGGCTCTGTGCTGATTTCATGAACCATGAGATCATGACCTGAGCCGAATCAAGAGTCAGATGTGACTGAGCCACCCACATGCTCCTATAAAGTTTCAGTAATTAAAACAATGCAGTCTTTTAAAAACATTTTTTAAGTTTACTTATTTATTTTGAGAGAGAGAGAGAGAGAGAGAGAGAATCCCAAGCAGACACCACACCGTCAGCACAGAGCCCTTTGCGGGGCTCGAACTCACGAACATGAGATCATGACCTGAGCCGAAACTAAGGGTCAGATGCTCAACAGACTGAGCCATCCAGGCATCCCTAAAACAATGCAGTCTTGAACACACACACACACACACACACACACGCACACCAGAAAACAAAAACAATGCAGTCTTAGCATACGAACAAACAGGGCAATGAAACAAAATCTATCACAGCAATAATGAAGTGTCCCCACATCCAGTAAAGGCAGTAGCTTCCATCAGTAAAGCAAAATGGGTCTTCTAAGGTGCTGGGCAGGTGGAAGCCCGTTTCACATCTCACAACATGCCTCAGGATAAACTCCAAACGTAAAATAATAAACGCCATAAACATGGAGAACAAAACATGGGTGAATTCCTTTATAACTTCAGAGTTGGGAAAGTTTTCTTAATTCTGTAGGAAATCCATCCGGAAGCCATAAAAGAAAAGATGAATAAACTTGACTCCTTGAAAATGCCAACTGATCCGGGTCCTCCCCCAAAATACCATCAGGAAAGTCAAAGTAGAAGTAACAATGTGGGATAATTTTGTGCCCCTCGGATCCCAAAGGTCCAATTTTCCTAACCTCTAAAGAGCTCCCAGAAATCAAGGAGAAAAACGACCATCAACACAGAAGAAAAGAGGCTGAGCAAGGGCAGTTCATGAACATGCAAAACATGACCCCTGATCTGTCAGCAAGAGCGAGGATCTTTCTGTAAGTAAGAGAAATGCAAATCGAAACACTCAGATAGCATCTCTCACCTGTCAGATTGGCAAACATCCAAAACGTCCACACCACGTTCCTCTGGCCAGGCTGCGAGGAACCAGGGAGGCGTGTGGAACGGTACCAGTCCGGTGGTGGAGGGCAACCGAATCTATCAGAACCCTTTCACCCCGCAATCCCGGTCTGTGAATTTATCTGCAGATAAGTGCAGTTTGTTCAGGTCACAGATTTGTTTTCGATTGCAAACGAGGAAAAACAACCCAAGGTCTTTCTTGAAGGCACTGATTACACATCGATACCACGTGAAACAATGTCAGCCTCCCACAGCGCAGGGATCAAGGCCTCTGACTCATCGTTGCATCCCTCGTGGCCAGCGCGGACCCCAGCACAGAGTAGGGGGGCTCAATATACAGGTATGTTCTGAACGAATGAGTAAATGATCCCTAACCTGCCCACAAAGCCAAGATAAGATATGGAAACTAATCCAGGGAAATGGCTTTTGCAAAGCGTAAGCCATGTGTGGATGCAGATTACAGCTGGTGGAAAGTGTTACTGGACACACCCTGCCTCACCGTCTGTGGCTACAAATTAAGGTCGCATGCCTTTGACTTTTCATTTATAGTACCTGAGGAGCGCCTGAGTGGCTCAGTCGGTTGAGTGACCGACTTCGGCTCAGGTCATGATCTCACGGTTCGTGGGTTCGAGCCCCGCGTTGGGCTCTGTGCTGACAGCTCAGAGCCTGAAGCCTGTTTCAGATTCTGTGTCTCCCTCTCTCTCTGCCCCTCCCCTGCTCACGCTCTCTCTCTTTCTCTCTCAGAAATAAATAAAAACATTTAAAAAATAAAAAAAAAAATAAGTTGTGCAGTGCACAACATTAAAGTACCTGAGTGTTCACGGGTCCCAAGAGAGGAAAGGTGACCTTCCCCAAAGCTGCAGGGCTTGGAAGCCTGGGAGACAGGTTGTGAACGTAGGTAGATCTGCCCCCAAGTCTTAGGCCTCTCCTCTCCTCCCGAGGCCACCCCTCCCTGCCAGGGTCACCTCCGCTCTGCACTGGAGGCTGGACTGAAGATTGAGCTGCCTGGGCTTGGCTTCTCCGGAGCAGCGTGAAGTCACCCTCCCTGGGCTTTCTGCTCAGTTCAAAGGCAGCATAAATCAGCACGAATCTGGATTCCTTTGCCTTTGCTGTCTGGGCATGTCCACACACGCACTTACAAAGACCCCCCCCTTCAGTGCCCGGGGGCAGGGGGTGCATGAGCTCTCTGCACTGGTCACTTGTTATGCCCAGAGATCACAGAGGTACAAGTAGCAGAAAACTCTTCAGCAGATAAAATCATGCCTGGCTTTGAGCCAAACTGGTGCCTTTAGCACTGAGGTCTACGATACATTCTGTTAATTTTTGTGTGTGGTGTCAGGGAAGATCGAAGTTCATAGTTTTCCGTAGGGACGGTTAGTCGTCTGGAAATGTCTGCTCCCACACTGAATTACGTTGGCACTCTTGGCAAAAGTCAATCCACTGTTTAAGTGCGAGTCTGATTCTGGACTTCGTATTCTGTAATTGAACGACAGGTCTACCCTTAGGCGAGGACCACACGGACTTCATAACCGCAGCTTTATCGTTAAGTCTTGACATCACGTATTCCTCGTACACTTTGTCCTCTTTTGAAATTGTTTTGGCTACTATAGGTCCTTGGTATTTCTGTGTCCATTAAAAAAAGTTTTTAATGTTTTATTTATTTCTGAGAGAGAGAGAGAGAGAGGCAGTGTGTGCAGGGAAGGGTCAGAGAGAGAGAGGGAGACACAGAATCCGAAGCAGGCTCCATGCTCTGAGCTGTCAGTACAGAGCCCGACGCAGGGCTTGAGCCCACGAACCGCGAGATCATGACCTGAGCCAAAGTCGGACGCTCAACCGACTGAGCCACCCAGGGGCCCTTCTGTGTCCATTTTAGAACCAGCTGATCAATTTCTACCAAAAGCTGCTGGCATTCGGATCGGGATTGCACTGAATGCGTACGCCAATTGGGGGAGAAGTGTTATCTTAACAAGATCAAATCTTCCAATCCATGAAAAATAAAATCATGCCTGCAAAGGAAATGCCCACGGAAAAGGCATTTAGAAATTCTGGCCTGGGCACGCCTGGGTCACTCAGTCAGTTAAGCATCTGGCTCTCAATGTCGGCTCAGGTCACGACGTCACAGTTTGTGGGATCGAGCCCCACATCAGGCTCTGTGCTGCCAGCGCAGGGTGTGCTTGGGATTCTCTCTCCCTCCCTCTCTGCTCCTCTCTTACTCGTACATACTGTCTCTCAGAGTAAATAAGTAAACTTACAAAGAAAAAAAAAAGAAAGAAAGAAACGCTGTCCTGAATTAAGAGTCTAGAGTTCACTCTCCTTGGAAGCAAGTTTCCACATTGCTTCACTTTTTCCTTTTTTACTGTATTAAAGATGAAAAATAATTGGCAGCGAAGAACAGTCAAGCCCTGCCCCAGGCAGTGCGCACATCACAGCATTGCCCATACTGGGTATCCTTAACAGTCTGTGCTGATAGCACGTTACCTGTGCAAGGGACCTGGCTTCCATCTTCTCCGCACTTGCTCTGTGTTCTGGAAGCATGACCTCCCCTACTATTTCTGAGCCTCAATTCCTTCATCTGTGAGAAAAAGAGCTTGCAAAAGACAATCTCTATGGATCCTTCTAGAAAGACCTTCCAAATCTGGTTTCTCCAGCACCGGTCCTGCCCAGAGCCACCACTGACCTCTCTAGACACAGCGTTCCAGGGCCACCTGCCCCTTGGTGTCAGGCCAAGAGCAAGGGCGGATAATAAGGCCACAGGGTGGATAGTTCACAGATAAGAGAGCTCCTGCCCAAGTTGATACGAAAGGTCTTCGGGGAAAGAAACCCTTCCAGCCCTTGGCATCACACACAGTACCCTGATCCTGCATTCAACAAATGCTTGAACACCCACTATGTGCCCGCCCCCACTCCAGGGTCTGGAAATACAGACAGCAGTGAACAAAGCAGATGATCTTTGGCTTCATGGAGCTGAAATTCTAGTGGGAGAAAATTAACAGAGAAAGAAATACATCGAGTGATAACGTGTGCTCTGTTGAAAAATTCAGCAGGAAGACTGGACTGAGGACCGGGGCAGGGGTGCTACTTTACACAGACCAGCGGGGTCTGGGCTCTCTGAAAAGCCCACATTTGTGCTGAGACCTGGAGGAAGTGAGGGGGCAAGCCTTAGGGCTATCTGGGAGGGGAGAGTGTCCAGGGAGGGAAATCAAGTGAGTGCAAAGGCCCTGGGGCACGTGTGCTTGAGGTATTGATGGAATAGCAGAGTAAGCAAGGTGCGAGGAAGGACAGGAAGTCAGAGAGATCATGAGGAGAGGGGGTCATGGGGGTCTTGAAGGCCACCGGAAGGATCGGTCTCTGTGACTGGGATCGCTGCCATTGGGAGATTTTGAGGAGGAAGGGGCTACCAAGCGCCTTACACCTTAAAGAGATCTTTAGGATCTGGATGCTTTTTGAGATGAAACCAAGGGAGACATGTGGCACCAAGAAAGCAATTACGAGGCTCTTGGGGATAATCCAGAGGCGAGGGAGGCATACGGCTGGGACGCAGGGGGATTGCCGATTTTAGGACGCCTTTCTGACACATCTCTCCTGCCCTTGTCGGCCCTGTGACCACAGCCCAGCTCAGGACTCTGTCCTCCACCTTGGACCCCCACTCCCCACCCCACGCCCGTGCCTTGCGGGCACTTCCCCTCCGCAGCCCCTGCCCCGTCTCCAGACCCACAACTTCCAGCCCAGCCCAGCTGACCTCTGCCACATTGCTCAACCCATCAGGCTCTGGGAATTCCTGTCTTCTGCAATATGCTCTTTCCTTTCCCCAAAACGTCCCTCCGCCCTCCCCTGTCCGGCAACCTCTCAACCGTAATACGTGGGAAGAGCTGCCGTTTGCCAGGAACGTGCCACGCGTCAGGCATCCTGCCAAGCGCCGATCACTTGTTTTCTAAATTTTTTTTTAATGTTTAATATTGATTTTTTAGACAGAGAGAGACAGAGCATGCACGGGGCAGAGTCAGAGAGAGAGGGAGACACAGAATCGGAAGCAGGTCCAGGCTCTGAGCTGTCAGCACAGAGCCCGACGTGGGGCTCGAACTCAACTGCGAGATCGTGACCTGAGCCAAAGCTGGACGCTCAACCGACTGAGCCCCCCAGGCGGCCCCCCCGCCCCCCTCCCATTCACTCTTTCCTGCGTCTTCGTGTCTACCACTACGGCCCCATTTTACATATGAGAAAATGAAGAGACAGAGAGGAAAGGTGACCTTCCCAGTGCCGGGGGGCTGGTAAGCGTGGGAGGGAGGATTTGCACCCAGCTACGTTTGCCCCAAATTCTCAGACAGCCCTTCCTCCAGTGAGTCTCTCCGGACCTAGACCAGCAGAGCAGGCCGCCTCCAGGAAGCTGCCTGGATTTTGGCACCACTCCCACCGTGGGCCGTGGGCTGGGGTCTCAGTGCTGCGCACGCTGGCGCACAGTGGGCACTCATGTGAGCAGCCCTCACCCCAAACCCTGGGCTCGCCCGCAGCCTCGATGGCGGGCAGACCCTCAGGGCCCCGGGGGAGTCCTGCTGGGAATGGCCAGGGTGAATTCGGCCTCAGAGTATCCGGGGAGCAGGGGCAGGCGGGCGCTGAGCCAGATGCCGCCCGCTTTCCCAAGTCTGTAGATGACAGTGAGTAACTTAGGGAGGGGCGGGCCTGGCACATAGCAGGTGTACCATGGATGTGTGATGGCGGAGGGATCAAGGAAAGCCATCCTGATGCTCCAGGAGCCCTGGACAATGACGGGAAAAACCTGAAAGGAAAATCAACTCTGTTGCTCACACCCGCCAGGCTCCGGGAATGCCAAGTTTCTGTAAAATGTGCTTCCGGCTTCCCAGAAGGTCCCTCCACCCCCACCCCTGCCCAGCAAGCTCCGAACCACAATAGGTAAGAAGAGCCACTGTTTGCTAAGAGTCCACCCAAATGCCGGCTGCAAGGGTGATGGGCGACGTTAAACCTGAGCTGTGTCTTCACGCCCCTGGGTGCTGTCTCTACGTGTCCCGGGGTGGGGGGGGGAAGGGGACGTGGACAGTCATCACCCAGCCAGGTACCTCCTGCTCTGCTCTCTCCTGAAGACAGTAGCGCAACCTCCGCAAAGACCTGAGGCGAAGGCACGGGACATAGTCAGCCTTCCAGTGACCTTGGCACCCCGAGGGCCCACGTCAGCGTTCTGGGGCGCTCTTTCCGTGGACCCGCCGTCCACAGGGCCCTCGCAGGCAGAGAGCAGTGTTTGCACAGAGCCGCGGACACACAGAAGGAGATCTACACTTTGGTGTGTTTCTCACTGAGAAAATACCTGTATTTTCAACCCGGATATGCAACGGGACACATCTCCTAAGACTCATCGAGCTGGGTGTGTGCAAGGGCATGCAAACGGTTCCGGAAGAGAGACACTCGAAAGCCCACATGCTGCCCTCTCACGCCCATAAACGCAGCTCGGAAGCCTAACTTCCCGGGGTCAGGACGTATGCGGCTGCACCCCCATGATGGCTTCATCGTTCATTCCACCGACTTCCTGTCCCGGCTGCTGGGAACGTGGTTTCCATCTTTCTGCTTTTGCGGACAGCACCGTGGAGAATATCTGAGCGCTCCCATCTTTGAGCACATCCTTAATTACTTCTGGAGGATGAATTCCTAGAAACGAGCCTCTGGGGTCAAAGGAAATGTAATTTACAGGTGCAGATGCAGATCGCTGACGGGTCTCCAGAAACATTTTACAAGGTCCACATTCTCTCCGGTGTCGTGGCTTTGCCCACCTTGCCGGCCCCTCGGCACAGGGAGGGGTGAGCGCCCTTGTGTTGACATTTCTGACCCGCTCTCTTGTGACGGGCGTGAGCTATGTGGTTAGTAATAACAATAGTGTCCATTTCCTGAGGACTCTGTGCGCAGCCACAAGTCACAGTGACTTTCATATGGTAACTCATTTAATCCCCCGGATAGACCTGTGTGGCTCGTGCTTTTACCATCCACTACAGTTTTAAGAGTTGAGGGAACTGAGGCATCGCTGGGGTTCAAACCCCCTTCGCCAGGTGAAAGGGGTCTGCCTGTGGCCCAGCCACGCTCACCTGGGAGAGCTTTGGCGCTGGAGGCTCAAATTCCCTGTAATAAAGGAAAGGCGCTTAACCCTGAGTCTTAGTTTCTTCATCTGTAAAATGGGAAGAACAGCACAGGATGACTGAGGGGGTTAGAAAAGATCAGGTAACAAAGTGCCTGGCACCTAGTAAGGGCTCGGTCCATGGACGCCTGTCCGCCAGCATCAGGAGGTTACCTTGGAGACCCAGTGGAAGGTGCAAATGAAGACCACAGACAACTGGAGAGTCGGGGTGGGGGCCTTTCTGGGCTCTGTGTCTACACCTGGGACAACGGATTCTGTTCTTTCGAATCAAGTCTGTTGGGCGAATGTGAAGCAGGTCACTTCTGCTTCCCTCTCGTGTGCCTCGGGTGCCCAGCGCCCCCACTGGCCCATTCAGACTTCTCACTGGTGTGATTTCCAGAACGCGCTACGTGTCCTGCTGGAGTCGGCCTCCGGTGGGTGAGAGCGTGGGCACAGGGGAGAGTGTGCGGGCACTAACCAGAAGGGGAGGGGCTCTTCTAGTCCCGTGGCCAGCGCAGCTTCCCCTGGGATCTGCCCAGAGGGAACACAGAGGCAGACGAGAGAGGAAAGGACACTCACTCCCGGAGCAAGATGGTACAGCTTCCTGATATCTACCAGGAATGGAGGCGCGAAGGGCAGAGCGATTCTCAAGGGCATGCAGTTAAGGCTGGGAGAGTCCACTTTGAACCCATCCCTGCCACTCCTCAGCTGACTGAACCTGAACAAGGCACCTTCCCTCCCCCCAGTCTGTAACTGGAGTGAGGTGAGAACACCTGCTTCCTCCCAGAGAAGCAGGGAGGACTCCGGTGGATGAGGCTGGCAAATAGCCTGGGGAGCTGGGGGCCTCAGGACCAGAATCTTTTCTCTCCCCTGAGCTTTTCCACCTGGCTCTACATGAAGACCAAAGCCAGTTCATAAGGTGTCGGTCCAGCCCTTCCCCTCACCAGCTCAGAAGGTCCCTCGACACCCCTACCTCCCGCATCCTCTGAGACCTCCATGTATGGACCTGCCTCTCCTCCGGGACTCAGCCACTCCGACTTCTGGCTCCTTCCCATCAGCTCATAAGTGCAGCCAAGTCTCCTTTATCGAAAAGCACACAAACAGATAAAGTAAAATAAAAGTAAGAAATGTGCCCTTCAAGAACACACACCAGCCACAGCAAAAATAAAAGCCAAATGATAACCTGGGAGGAGGTCTCTGCCCCTAAGAGACTAAATAAGGGACAAACACCTCACTGATGAGCTCAAACAAATGAATAAGAAACACATACTGTGGTAACCATTTCACAACTGATGAATGCCAGATCCTGCCCTACACCTTCAACGTACACAGTGCTGTGTGTCATTTATATTTCAATAAAACTGGGGGGTGGGGGGTGCCTGGATGGCTCAGCTGGCTGAGCGTCAGACTTTGGCTCAGTCACGATCTCTCCATTCCTGAGTTCGAGCCCTGCATCGGGCTCTGTGCTGACAGCTTGGAGCCTGGGGCCTGTTTTGGATTCTGTGTCTCTCTCTCCCTCCCCTGCTTGCACTTTCTCTCTCTCTCATGTCCCTCAGAAATAAACAGACATTAAAAATTTTTCTTTTTTAAAAACTGGGGTTGGGGGGAGCACACAAAGATTCTGGACATTCACACTCTTTGACTCGGAGTAATTTCACCTCTAGGAAATAACAAGAAATGCAAACTCACAGCCTGAGAAAGTATGAATGGTCCAGGCCCTGTGCAGAGCCAACTGGGCCCTAGGTAGAGCCCTTCCTATACATCAGATGAGGTGACTATCAGGTAATTCTCTTTCCAGGAAAAAGCCGGCAATGTATAAATGCAAAAGTTCAACGTAACATCATCCCAAAGAGCCAAACACTGAAAAGCACCTAAATTTCAAATGCGATCCATTAACTAATATGATGTAACATATGCAAGTGTTGAAAAATATTTTTTAAAAAAATGTTTGAAAGAGGTGAGGAATTTGAAATTTTCATACAGACAAGATATATTCAAATACGTTCAACAGTATTTTTTAAAAGTTTGGCAAAATGGCGAATGTGAAGAGTAGGTAGCTCTAGGTGATGCAAATATGGAATCTTCTCCCTATTTCTTACAGTTCATTCATTCAAGCAGCATTTAGTGAGCACCTACTACGTGCCGGGCTGGGCAAGGTTCCTTCTTTCCAGAAGTTTCCAATTTGGAAGAGGAGTGGAACAATGAGGGGCACTTAGCAGGAGCTGTGAGCTCCCACCCCTCCCCCCTGCCCCCCTGCCAGGAGGGAGAGCCAGGAGGGGCAGCAGCCAGTGGGTGGGGGGGGGGGGGAGAGAGGGAGAGAGAGAGAGAGAAGGGAAGAGCTGTTTCCACATTTCAAGCTTCCCTTTCTCATCTGCCCATCTTCCTGTCTTTTTTCAAACGTCCCTGGCAGCCACTGCGTCTTACTCTGCCCTCGTCCCAATTTGGACCCTTTAACCTAGACCTTTAGGCAGCTAAAAGGGCTTCCATGGGTACAAGGAAAAGAGACGCATTTTTAAGAATTTCTGTTGTGGAGCTGGGCAGACAAGCAGGGACGTGCACGTGACACACTGGGAACAAGTTTGGGAGGAAGATGAACCCGGAGAAGATTCCACCTGGCTCCTCCTTTTCTTCCCTTTTGTATTTGGGCCTGACTGGGGGACACCCCCTAGGGTGTAGGAACACGCCAGCGGCCTAGGTATGGAGGGTGCAGCCCTGGCCAATGTGGGTCCGCTTTGGGTGACCCCCCCAAGTGGCCGGCGTGGAGCAGGCAATCATTCAGGATCCCAGAAACGGTGTCCTCCTGAGAAGGGGTGGGTGAGGGGAGATGGCTTTTAACCCTCTCAGTGCCGGGGGCTCAGCTGAGTCTGTCAAGGAGGTGGGAACTTCTATTCCAGGGTGTCAGATGAGGAAACCGAGGCAAGGGGGCTCCCCGAGCAGACAAGGGCAGTGGGCTCGGAGCCTGGATCTCCCTGCCAGAGCCTCTCCCCGGCACAGCGCAAGTACCACTCAGGGTTTCCCATCAGAAGAGGGAGGGGGCGAAGCGCCACCCGCAGGGCCCTTCCCCCACCTGGGCGCTTCCGAAGCCTCAGCACCACCATCGCCGCCGCCGCCCTCCCGTCCCCCCACTCCCGGCAGTATCCCCTCCAGCCCGCCGCTCCCGCCCCTCTCCCAGCCGCACCCCCTCCGGGGCCAGGGGCGAGGCCTCCCGCGGCGATGCCGCGCCCCAGCCCCAGGTCGCCGCGCAGGGGGACTCGGCCCCTGGCTTCCCGCCCCCTCGGCCCCCTCGGCGGGCGCAGGAGCCGGGCCCGGGAGGGGGCTGCTCCGAGGGCCCCCGGGCGCCGCGCGCCCTCCGCTCGCGGGCCCCGCTCCCGGGCCGGCCGCCGCGCTCAACTTCGGGGCGCAGTTGGCTGGGGACCCCGCCGCGCCCGGTCGGTGCGCACGCTGCTCTCCCTCCCGAACAGGTGGCCCGGGCGGCGGCCGAGCCCTCCCCGCCCCTCCGCGGCCCACCCCGAGGCCCCCCTGCGCCCCCGCGCCCGGGGCCGCACCCCGGAGCCCCTGCGCGCGGTCCCCGGTACCTCCGGCTCCCGCAGCGGCGGCGGCGGACGAGCTGGCCCCGCGGGGCGGCGGCGGGAGGCAGAGCCCCGAGTCCGGCGGCCGGAGCACCGCCCCTCCGGCCCGGGCGTGGTCAGCGCCGCCCCGCCCGCCGCCCCTGCTGGGTCCCGGCTCCCCGGCCCTCGCGTCCCCGCCGCTCCCGGCGCCGTGGCTGGACCGCAGGTGCGGACCTCCCGGCCGCCTACCCTAGGGGTTTGTAATCCGATTGCCCCATTGCACAGATGAGAAAGCTGAGGCTCAGACGGTTGTCACTTGAAGGTCATGCAGCTGAGAAGGGGCAGCGCCAGGACCGGAACCGGGCCTAGAATATATGCATTAACCTCCCCACCCCACCTCCCTCCTGTGACCCGAGCTAAAGGCGGTGCCGGCCCTGCCCGGCGTTTTACCGAATCTCAGTTACGTGCTTGAACCTTCACAACTTCCGCGGGTCCCCGATGCTGCCGCCGCCGCTGCGCCCTGGCCCCTCCCACTCTCCCGGGGACCCACCGCCCACTCGGTGTGTCGTCGCGGGTCCTCTGGGCCCAGCCTGGCCCTCAGCCAGTGACTGCCCCCCCCCCCCCCCCCCCCCCCCCCCCCCCCCCCCCCCCCCCCCCCCCCCCCCCCCCCCCCCCCCCCCCCCCCCCTTGCCCACAAGCTCCCGCTTCAAGCGCACACTGACGACCCTGCGTCTCTCCCGGGGCTGACCCTCCCCATCCGTCCATCAGTCTGTCTTAAAGCCCAAACATGGGAGCCCCTTCCAGGCCCCCGAAGCCCGCCGCCCCCGCTGCTGCCTCACCTTTGTGTTTCCCTTTCTAGAAAAAGTTCTCCCTCCTCGCGGTCTCCAGCCTCTCCGCTCCTCTATCCCTTACACCCGTCCCCCACTAGCCCACCAACGCGGTCCCTCTGGGTCCCCAGCGCCGCGGGCATCGGGCATCGTGTGTTACTGGAGCCACACGGAGGCTGGTCCTGGTCCCCGGTCCTGCCCCAGCAGCTCCCTGTCCTCTGCAGCACTTTCCTCTTTGGCCTCCCAGACCCGCACTTGGCTGGGTCCCCGCCTTCTCAGGCTCCCCTTTCTCCCCAGCCTCCAGAAGTTTCCACGGGCTCTTGATCTTCTGCTCCTTTCCCCACTCTTTACCTTGATGCTGTCGCATCTATCTGCTGATGACGCCCAAACGAGGCCGCAGCCCAGAGCTCTCCCCAACACACTCTGCTCGCTGCTCCCTCACAAGGCCCCGGACAGTGGGACAGTGGCCTGATCTCTGCCCACGCGGTCCCCCGACTTCCCCACGTCAGCTAAGGAAGGTCCCTTTCCCGGGTACTTGGGCCCCAAACCTTGACTCCTCCGTGCCCACCACTCACCTTCCCCACACTCACTCCAACAGCAAATTCTATCTGATCCGCCTTGAAAATATGTCCAGAATCTGGACACCTCTCACCCCACCCCCACCCTGTCCAAGTCATGAGCCTCTCCCAGGGATCTCCTCCGCTGGCCTGTCCCCCCCTCTCCCCCTCTCCCCCCCTCCACCCCCTCCAGAGCAGCCTGAGGGACGATGGTACAAGGAGGTCACACCACATCCCTCCACGGCCCCAGCCCCTCCAGAGGCCCCAAAACTCAGAGGAAAAGCCCCTGCCCTTGCCTCACCTTGGGCTCACCGCTTCCACGAGGACCCTGGCCGGCCCCGCCGGCCTCCTTGCTGGCACTCACCCTCTCCAGGGCCTTTGCTCTCACAGCTACTCTGCTCGGAGCAGCCTTGCCCAGGTGTTTCCGAGGCTCTGTCTCTCCCCCACCTGCTTCAGGTTCAATGTCAGCTTCTCAGTGAGGCTTCCCTGACCTCCCTGTCTCAAGCCAGACCCGAGCATCTTGCACTCCCACGCCCTTCCCTCCTTGATTCCCGCCCCCCCCCACACTTACCACCATGTGACACGCTTCATGTTTCACTTTTGCATTAAAAAATTTTTTTTAAATGTTTTTAATTTATTTTTGAGAGAGAAAGAGAAAGAAGATGAGCAGAGGGGGTATAGAAAGAAGGGGACAGAGTGTCCGAAGCAGGCTCTGCACTGAGAGCAGTGAGCCTGACGCGGGGCTTGGACTCACGAACCAAGAGATCATGACCTGAGTAGAAGTCAGACGCTCACCGACTGAGCCCCCCAGGCGCCCCACTTATGCATTTATCTTAATGCCGGTCCTCTGCTCTGGAATGCGAGTTCCACACAGCAGGGGGTCCGGCCGACGTGTTCACTGCTCTGTCTTCCTCCCCGAACAGTGTCTGGAACAGAGTAACTCAGCAAACATGTAGAATGAATGAACCTGTATGATTTCACCACTGGTGATACAGTCCTTTTTCTTTCTTTTTTAATTTTTTTTTCATGGTTGTTTATTTATTTTGAGAGAGAGAGAGAGAGACAGAGCACGAGCAGGGGAGGAGCAGACAGAGAGGGAGAGAGAGAATCCCAAGCAGGTTCCGCACTGTTAGCAGAGTCCGATGTGGGGCTTGAACCCACAAACCTAGAGATCATGACCTGAGCCAAAATTGAGTCAGACATTCAGCCGACTAAGCCACCGAGGCGCCCCACAGTCCTTATTCTTCATATTGCCCTTTTCATTTCAATAAGTGTATCTTTTTATTTTAAATGTTTTATTTAGGGGCCCCTGCGTGGCTTAGTCGGTTAAACGTCCGACTTTCGCTTAGGTCATGATCTCGCGGTTCGTGGGTTAGAGCCCCGCATCAGGCTCTGTGCTGACAGCAAGCTCAGAGCCTGGAGCCTATTTCAGAATCTGTGACTCCCTCTCTCTCTGACCCTCCCCTGCTCACGCTGTCTCTCTCTCTCCTAGAAATAAATAAAAATATTAAAAAAAAAAACGATTAAATGTTTTATTTATTTTTGAGAGAGAGACAGAGTATGAGTGGGGGAAGGGCAGTGAGAGAGGGAGACACAGAATCTGAAGCAGGCTCCGGGCTCTGAGCTGTCAGCCCAGCCCCTTGTGAGGCTCAAACCTAAGAACTGCGAGATCATGACCTGAGCAGAAGTCAGACGCTTAACGGACTGAGCCACCCAGGCGCCCTTTCAATAAATGTATTTGAAAAGGAAACTTTGTATTACTGCCCTAGTTAGGACACCACTATTTCTAACCCAGACTAGAAAGCAACAGTAAAAATGATAATAAAACAATGTTCTAAGGCTCTGAGGACCCCACTGCCTGGCTAGGGGCTGGCCCCCCCCCCCTTATTAGAAAGTGAGATTCACAGGTGTAGAGAGGTATCAAAGACAGGCCAGCACCTGGAAAAGACTTGCCTCTGGACCTGAGCAGAAGGATGAGAGGAAATGCCATTGTTACCGGAGCCCCTTCTCAGGCTGCCCCCAGCCCCACAAGCTCTTCCTCGCTGTCCCAGGAGAGACGAGCCATCCCCTCCTAGCGGCTGGCTTGACCTCACAGCCCTCTGAGATCATGCAGTCACCAGCCCCATTTTACAGATGAGGAAACTGAGGCCGAATTGGAACTCACCCAGCTCACAGAGCGCGTCAAGGTGGACAGAGGTTGGGACTTGAGTTTGCCTCACCCCAAGCCCTGGGCAGACTCTGAGGTCAAACCCCTCTCGTCTGCCCTAGCCTGGCTGTTAGGGAAACTGAGGCCAGGGCATGGAGGAAGTCGGGGTGGGGGGATGGAAGAGCCCATATGTGAGCCCTGCTCTGGCCTCAGTTTACCCATCTGTACAGAGCCCCCAGGGAGAACGAGGGAATCACTGGAGCTTCTGGTCCCCTGGCCTGAACTGCTTGGCCCTCAGGCTTCCCCGTTAACAGTTTGGTTTAATCAGATCAGCTGGATTCTTTATTCCTTTGACGCAGACGGATCCGAGGTGGTTCAGCTCTCGCTGTGGACACCTCTGCTCCACCGGTAAGCGATCAGGAGCCGCCCCCACCTTCACAGAAAGGACGAGAAATCAAAAAGCAAAGCACCCCCTGCCTTTACCACGTGACCTCAGTTCTCTCCTACCTTCCGCCTGGTTTCTCAAAAGACTCATCTCCACCCTGTTGTGACCCTTCCCTTGCTGGTCTCCCGTGCCTGTTCTCACCTGCTTCCTGTCCCCTTCGTGGGGGTGGGGGTGGGGGGGCGCTTGCCGGTGTCACAGTGACTTGTCCCTACAGGGTCAACAATAGTACTGTTAACTTTTGTTAACAAAACCACAGACTGAAAGAATTTACTGTAAACTTACGATCTTAAAAATACAGAAATATCGGGGCACCCGGGGGGCTCGGTCGGTTGAGCATCTGACTTCAGCTCAGGGCACGATCTCACGGTTCGTGGGTTTGAATCCCGCGTCGGGCTCTGTGCTGACAGCTCAGAGCCTGGCTCCTGCTTCGGATTCTGTGTCTCCCTCTCTCTCTGCCCCTCCTCAGCTTGCTCTCTGTCTCTCTGTCTCAAAAATAAATAAGCATTAAAAAAAAGAAGAGAGGAGAGGGAGAAGTATTTCCGACTCCGTTTCTGATCAGGATGTCCTGAAAGCCACAGGAGTCTCTGACTACCACCGCCACATCTCAAGGACACCTCAGTGCCCAGACTTGGCCCTCGAAGACCTTCTCCACGAAAGGAAACCAGGACTTCGGGAACATGAAAATAAAACAAGAATGGTCCAGGATGCTCTGTTGTGACCAGGAAAGAACGTCCCTCCCCGCAGAAGTTTTCGGGGAGCAGAGGATTAAGTCTCCCCCAATGCGAGCCAAGCTGTAATAATATGACCTTCAAAAATTATTAATTGAAATAATTTTAGTCAACGTGAATACATTCACTCTGTGGAAGGTCAGGGCTGTAACGATACCCAGAAGAGAAAGATCAAGATAAAGCTTTCCAAGAGAATTGGAAAGATGGCTGCCCTGCGACTTGTTTGAATTTTTTATTGAGCTTCGTAACTTGGGACGTGTTGGTCTTGTTTCTGTTTTGTTTTGTTTTATTGTTGTTGTTAACAAACTAGAGAGAGGTGTGGACTTTATCTGTGTCATCAGGA